CACACACACACACACACACACACACACACACACACACACACACACACACACACACACCAAAGAGGAAACGAGAGGAGACAGGGTGAGAGGAGGAAATAAAGAAATAGGCATGTAAGTGAGACAAGATGTGAATAATTTTAAATGCTTGCCAAGGTGTCCTAGGCTCTCAGGGATAGACCATCTGTCTCAAAAAGGCAGAGGTTTGCAGGCAGCATACATACCACGATGGAGCTGAAATCGACTGACTCTGCTCAAGCCTAGGCTAGTAGTAGGAACATGAACTGAAAGTACTGATGTACTCAGCCTTTCCTACAGCCTTTAGCAAGTGCTCTTGGTAGTGAGAGGGCAGTGTTTAGACTTAGGATCCCCTGTCAGCATAAAGATGAAATGCAAGGAGTCAGAACACCTCTACAGAAGAGCTCACTCCTCATTTACTGGAGTTGGCATACAGAGGGAGAGTAGGGTGGTGAACAAGAGAGAGAGGTTTTCATGGCTCCTTTAGCCCCACAGGACTCTGGGCTTTCAGAAGCAGCCTCCCACCCCTCTACATATCACCTGATAGTAATACATTGATGATCTTTCTCCCATTTCTACCAGCTAGCAGCACTCTGAAGTAAGCCCTTAGTGTGTGTGGTGCAAGATACAGCCTTGGTTTGATGGAACTCAATTCCAATAAGATGCTTGGTTCCCATGAACATTTTAACTATGTCAGTCAAGAGGACTTGGATGTGCTGCTTGCCTAGTTGGCTCTTTCCTCAAGAGAAAAACCTGGTGAGCATTTGTCACTGATTGTCAGACGTTGGTTCCTCCTCAGAAATTCCACTGTAGATTTCCACCTCGGGAGAACTGTTTATAGTCAGTGGAGGATGCTTCCTACTTTGGAGGATTTGAGCTGGAAAGATATCAAACATCCTTTGAGTCCTCTGCTGCAACTCTTGAAAATTGGTCCCTATAAAAGAGGACAATGTTGCTGAAGCAAGAAGAAAACACTGAGTTGAAATATCCACCTGAGGTTCATCACATGTTCAAAACCCCATTCAATCGTATTCCCTATCTGTCTGTCTCTCTGTCTCCCAAGAGAAGGAAAATGTGCCTAGAATGTCCCCAGGTTCTCCTGGTCTTGAGCCTGGTCTCGAAAGTCACACATTTTCTTGATCCTGCATTCTATAGCAGGATGTTTTTTGGCTTCAATTCTCTGTGTTCAATGCCCTGGTTCATGGCTATGGCACTTACTTGGCCAGATGGCCGCCTCCCATAGTACTAAGCAAGGACACTATGCGGACTCTTCTTCACTTTGAGGGTTCTTTCCTTCTGCTGGAATCCCCATTACGCACCTATCAATTGTTTCTCTTTATCACCTGCACACACCAATGATGATGTTTGAGTAATCTAGTGCCTTGATTAAATCCACTAGGGTTCTACTGCTCCCAAAACACCCTTGAGGAAGTCTGAAGTCAGTCTTCACATATAACTGGGAACATAAGAGGTTGGGAAAATTAGTCAACCTCTCCAAAGTAGCCAAAGCCTGTCCTGCAGGCTGGCCTCTCTAGATCTGTGGAGTGTCCAGCTGTCTGACACAGGCAGGCTGAAAGGGCCTCACTATGCATACAGGCATGATAACCAGGTCAAAATTCCATTGCAGTTCAGGGCATGAGCAAATTGCAGTGAGATGAGTCCCTGGCGATTCTTTAAGCCTGTGTTCAGGTTGAACTCCCAGTAGTGCAAGGTAGAGAGATTTCAGGAAGCTGAGGTTGCAGTCAGAACATAAGGGCCTGGAATCTTGCACAGAAATGCTGTCTATCAGGAGGGACAAGTAAGAGGGAAGGATGAGACTGAGTCAATGTGGTTTCCAGTATGAGCACTTGGACCTCTGTGTTGCAGTATGGACACAGACACTCAGACACATACACACTCACTTTTATATTAAACAAAGAGTTATATGGAGTAAGCTCTTTGACATTCTCTACCTGCAGCTCTCAAGAGGAGGAAGAGCAAGCATTCTGACCAGAAATTTACAATTTAAGGAGGTGAGGTCCCATTAGGTGGCTTGATGGAGGTCACACAACAAATGAGGTTTCTGGGTCTCTTTGTTCTGCAGGCTGTAGGACCCTTAGATCAGTTCCATCCATTTTCTCCATTTGCATTTCCCCAGTGCCCTTGCAGTGTGTACCTGGCTCTACAGTTTGTCTCCAGACAAATATCTACAGCATTGATATTGTGGACTGCAACTAACAGGCTGGTCCTACTCAGTCACAAAGTAGAATTGTTCAAGTGTTGTTTCAATCAAATATGAAAAGTGGATGATAATCCTGGGACCTAAGTTTGGGAACATTGTCATTTCAAGAGAATCTATAATTTTCTGTCTTTTGGGAGGAGTCTGACTTTTACTGCCAGTGGATTCCCTGTGAGCATGTGGAAAACCATTTTTGCCGATTCAGACATTGTATTCTACCCTCTGTCAGGCTTCTTCTGAGTGTGGCCCAGATTTGTGCTGGGCCCCTTTCCCTTCCTTGATGTGTCCTGGGCTTCAGCCCCTCAGCTATTGCTCAGGGACTAGAGGAGAAAGCATGTGCAGTTAATATTTTTCAGATAACAGATGAGTGTGTTTCTGGAGAGGCACCTTCCTGTACTGCAGAGGCTGCCCATCTCTGGGTCCTCATATGACGGGGACTTCTTTCTAGCTGGACCTAAGTGCATGCTGAAAGGCCTGTCCTCAGGACAAAATCTGTCCCTGCCTCCCTACAGAAGGCCTGTCTCTAAACACTATCACACAGGTGTGAGGTCCTTGCCATTTCAATCTGGGGAAGATACCAGTATGCATCTTTTTGAGCTGCAGGTGGCAAAAGAATCCTGAAAGGCATGCTTTCATTCTCCTCCTCTGGCTCTGCAATGACTATTTCAGTGTGGAAGCAGTTTGCAAATCATGGTGCTGCCCAGGTGGCAAGGGCATTGCTTCTGAGAGTTTCCTGAATCTCATGCAAAGGACAGTCTTTTTTGAAGACCTGGTGGCTCTTCTTGGTACCAAAAAAAAAAAAAAAAAAAAAGAAAAGAAAAGAAAAAAGAAAAGAAGAGAAAAGAAGAAAGAAAATACTTTTACCCAGTTACATGTCCTTAGGCAGGTGTCATTCTGAGAAAAGATGCCTAAAAGGTCAAGGGCAGGATCACTGGCTCTTGTTTTCTAGGGAAAAAGCAGAAGTGGAGGTATTGGTGTGGCATTGGAACGTCCATGGCCAGGGTCCCAATCTTTGCAGAGGTCCTTCAAATAAGCCCAAGGTTCTGGAGAGCTTTTCAGGGTGAGAAATATCCCCATATTTTTCTCAGATTTCTCTTCTGCACTGATGCACAGATGATGTTTGAGTCACATCCAAGGTCAGAGAGCGCAGCGAAGATGGTGTGGCCTGGGCAGGTCTCACTTGGAAGAATCTGTGAACTTTGCTCATGTTTGGTGGACAATGGGTGTTTCTGAATATCTTGTAGTGGGTGACTCCCGTGGTGCAACTGCCAAAGTCGGTGATCAGATCCTTTTATGGAGCATTGAAGTGCTCAGGTCTAGTGTCCCACTATAACCTTGCTGTGTGCATCCAAGTGGGTGCTTTAGGCTTTGTTTTGTGGCAGTATTTGAACACTGTTGTGGTCTGTTCAGATTGTGTCTGGGCCTCTTTTTCCTGCAGCCATCAAGCCTCCTCCTCAGCAATTCAGATATTAAGTCAAAATAGATGCTGTCATGATGTGGGACAGGCAGTGTGTATTCATATACTGTTAACCTTTGAGAAGGGACGTTTCTGACAAAAAAAAAAAATGTAGCACATATGATTCTCTGTGCTCTCCATGATAGAATTTGTGTTCCTACTCGGTCCCTGAGAGGTCAGAGTAGGCTACTTTTACTGATTCATGCCCACTCAACTATAGTTAGAAGCACCACATCATTACTCCTGAGGTAGTCTTTCTGAAGATGCTGGCCTAGAAGTGACATTGAGCTCCTACCTTCCTCCTCTCCTGTCAGGTCCTTGGAAAATCTCAACATAATAACTGGAAACCAAGACAACACAGGTACATCTGTGTCTTTTAGGTTGCAAAAAACCCACTCCCTAGAGCACAGGGATGAATCCACAAGCTAGACCACGGACCTACATGCTGTTTATTTTCACTCCCAACTGCTCCATGTAACAAGAAATAGACAGCACACGCCTCACATTAGCATACAGGAGCTGTCACTACTTTCCCTCAAGGACCTTTTTTCTCTTATGATAATACTAGGGATCTAATCCGAGTATTCCTTAAGAGATGTTGAGTCTGAGATGTCTGGGCCCCCGAGAGAAGTTCTGAGACAGTTGGGTGTTTTGTTCAGGCAAAAAAGTGGGAAGCTAGTGAGAGAAGCCCTGTGTACAGGAGGGAAGGGAGCTGAGTAGAGACAACCCATATACAGGAAGGAAGGGAGAGAGTCGGTGAGACCTGCCCTGTTTATGGTAAGGGAGAGACTCGGTGAGTGATTCCCTGTGTACAGGAAGGGACATAGTCGGTGAGAAAGAAATGCCCTTCATTGAACTGCTCTTATCTGAGATAATCTGGGCCTCACCCTAGGTGCTGATTAGACACCTGCATTCTATGATTGGCTCACTCATGAAGGGATCTACAAGGTCAGGAATGAATTCCCTGTACAAAGATACCCCATTTAAGAGTTCTTCACGATTTTGATAGCTAAGTTGCCTGTCTGTTCCGAAATCCTAAATCAACCCCCTCCCCCTCAAACAACCATCCTCATTTTGGGAATCTGGGCTCCCTCAAGTGGGATGTTTTCCTTAGATTGTCACTGTAGTCTCTCAGACCCCAGTGCAGATAAAAGTCCAATTTTCCCTGTCTGAATTCAAAGAAAGCAAAATGCATTGAGGAAGCTTCACTGAAACCATGAAAAGTTATGTCCAAACATGTGAATCTATCATCCAATTGTATAATGTGGCCAACAATGATGTGATGTTAATTGTAGACCAGCACCCTAGGCAGGACAGAGCCTTCCTCATCCACTCCAGCAGGAACAGCCGGAGAGACTCCTGGGCAAGTGGACCTCTAAAGTTCCTGTTGTCCACAGATGGTCGAGTGGCTGGACAACTGTCCTTCATCTTGCCTCACCTCTTTTCATGTCCTGGGACTGTGTACACCATGTTCCAGCTCCACTGTCTCAAGTAACAACCTTACCTTCTGCACCTCCCCAGAGTACTTTGCCTGCCTTTGTTAGAACTGAGAACACACACACACACACACACACACACACACACACACACACACACACACACACACTAAACAATGGCGACTCCAGCCTCAGCCCATGTGAACAGTGCCCTTTATTTAACAGAGAAAGGGTGTCCTTGCCAGGTGCAGATGGCTCAGCAGACCATGGGCTGTCATCCTCCTGCCCTGGTGGTCTCAGCAATAAGACAGAAAGTCTGAGGGAGTTGAGCATTTTTTCTGGGTTCTAAAAAGAGGTGACTTGTGGTCAATATTGCAGAGCGAGGGATATTTCACCATAGCCAAAAATGCCCTGGTATCACCCACACGGACTCTAGAATAGTCACATTGAAATTCTAATGATTCTGCTGGCATTGCTGCCCATGCCATGGTAGTTGTGGTGGTACTGGCCTCTTCTCAGATGGCTGAAGAAAAGAGGTCCCCTGGCTTGAGGAAGGAGCAGCAGCCAAGCAAGAGAGATCCACCTTTTTTGGAGACCCAGTCAATACAGCCTGAATGTGAAGGCCCTGTGGACAGCAGGGCCCTGAAAAGGGACATCTGAGGCTGAGACTGGATTCCAAGAACAGCTCTCTGTCTCTAGACAGGATGATGGCAGGGTGGGTCTTGCCTCACAAGGGGGCAGAGAGCTGCTGCTTGCACAACCTCCTAAAGCCAAGAGAAAGCTAAATTGAGCTAGGTGCTGTGGGGAACATCGGTCTCAGGAAATGAAGTGCCCCAGGCCATGTTCCTTCAGGATGAACAGGACAGCACACCTACTGGCCGAGGTCATCAGAAAAGTTGTTCCCTTCATTCATCTTCCCTCCAACCACACAGAGGAGCAAGACCCCTGTCAGATGGCCTCCTGCCTGAATGCAGCACTGTGAGGAGAGCCACACCAGAGTGCCTGAGCCAAACCTGGGAGATCACAGCTGTTCCCAGCTGCCAGGCACAGAGGGCCTGTGGATCCAGCCTCACTTCCATCTCTCACTATCATGCACTTGGAATATGCCATCAGCACCTGCTCCACCTGGCTTGCTCTCTTGGGCTCTTGGAATAACTGAAGGAAGAAGGTCTCCCAGTAAAAGGCTTCAAAAGACTGAGTCTTGAGTCTCAGTCTCGGGTTTGAGCCTAAGCATGGAACATGTAATCAAGCTTTGGGGAATCCCTGCAGCCAGTGTCCCAGACCTAGACTTGGTAGATTTAGAAGCTGGGAGAAGCTGGACCATGCCAATTCCACAAGACTGAGGGCCCCTAGGAAGAGTTGCAGGTAGCAATGTCCTCATAAACAGACTAAGGGGCACTCACATTTTTCTTGACAGACAAACATACCAGCAGGTCAGTCTTGTCCCTGTGCGCATGTACCTGGCACAGATATTCATAGGAAGGGAAGAAGCACACCACCCCTCCAGGGAACATGATGCACAAGATACAGAGGATGCAGCCTGTCTCCTCCATCTGCAGAAGACAAAGAGCATGCCAGGAATAGGGCCCAAACACACACACAGAGGAGAGAGGCCAAGCAGCTCCCCTTCTACCGGATGGAATGCACTACCCTCTTAACAGACATGCCCAACTGGGGATTCTGGTGAGTGCCTGCCTTTATGACACAACCCATCTCTGGCACCAAGAAATGAGCCAGACTTTTGATATGAACTGAGATCTCCCTAAGTCCCAGTGTCATGAGGGGCCCTATCCAGACAAATTAACACTGAGATGACATAAGAGTTGTGCCCAATAAATGCATCCTTCCCAGGATACAGGCAAGCAGCAAGAGGCCCTCCCCAACCCCCATTGTTGGCCTTCTTCCATCCTGCATTAATAGGATGCTGGGAGCTCTTTAGAAAACATGTAGTAGTCTAAGGAGAGTGTGGGAGCCTACAAAGGTTTCCTCGTGAGATCTGAGTTTGCTTTATACAGCAGGGCTGCATTATGGGATTGCTGGACCACATGCATGGTCACCAAGTACCTAGGATGATCTACACTTGGCCATGGTGAGGGGAGGTCTCTTGTTTTACCCTAGAAATTCCTCTAAAAGCCCCTTAGTAGAGACAGAAAGTGATGGAGGCTTTGGACCCAGGCCCGAGGCTCTCCTGTGTTTTCTAGCTGTCTCTCTCTCCTCTATATTTCTTTCTGCATATTCCACATTACTCCCTATTCAAGAGTACCCTGGGGAGTTTAGGAATAGGGAGCTGGTCTCCCTCAATTGGTGCCTAAACAGAGCCTGACCAGAGTAGCTGGTGAAAAATTAGGGAGAAAGCACCATGAGAAGTAGTGGGACAAGTCCGGTTTTGTAGTGAAAGTGAATGTTTGTTTTTGTAGTGAAAGTGGGTTTTTCTTCTCGGGAAGAAGAAGGAGGGGCTGAAAATCACCTGAGTACGGTGACTTCACAGCATACATTTCTCTCTTATCTGCGTTTCTTTTCTCTTTTAAAGTTCTATCTATAAAAAATAAGGAAGTTAGACTATAGTAACATAGTGTAGGAAAAACTTAGAAAAGTAGAATGTAGGAATATAAATGTACAGTAAAACATAGAAAAAGATAAGCAGCAACGCAAAGGAACCATGTCCTGAATATTCTAGCTATGGATCTAGGAATGCAAACTGGGAAAAATCAGAGGAAACACTATCAGAGAAGAGCTTAATGGGGAGAAAAAGATTCCTGGGGGAAGCTTTAGGCCTCAAGTGGCAGAGGAGGGAATTTCCCCCGAGGCATACACAGACAAAACAGAAACCCTCCACTCAGTCCGCAGTGCCTGAGGAAATTTGTACAACACTGTACCAACATAACTAGTTTCCTCTTGGCCCCTAAAGCCAAGGTTTAGAGAACAGAAGTTTTGAGAAACCTTGGTGGTCTTTCTCACAAAACTAAAAGCTTTCTTAGGAAAAACTCCATAATCTCTCTCTTAAACCTAAAAAGCCTTTCAGAACTTTCTTTCTCAGTTTTTCTTTATGTAAGGACAAAATAAGATTCACCTGTTTATGATATGTATAGAAAAATCACCTGTGGTTCACTCTAAGTTAAAACAAAAAGACCACATGGAGCTAGACAAATTCTCTCTGCTAGCACTGTCTCCTTCAAGCCTATATTAGGAAAACAGCAGCCAGAAATCCCTCTGAAACTAGATCTTAGCCATACAGGTGGCAAAGTGCAGGAGGAGGAAGAAATAAAGCCTAGGTGCATCTGCACCTTTGCTGACACATAAGAGACTCTGTCTGGGGAGGATCTCTGAGCCAGGACAGGATAGGGAAGGGACAGATTCCTCCCCAAAACATGCTGGCCCTAAGGAATTCTACTAGGTCAAAAAAATCAGTGTCTGGTTTCCAAGTAGTGAATGTAAGGGCACTGGGGGGTGGGCGCTAAGGCAGATTCAGGGAGAGAAGCCACCTACCTCCAGAAGTGGTTAGCAGAGGAACAAAGCCACCACTGTGGTGTTAGGGACCTTTTATGAATAAAAGGATGAGCTGGGACCAAACAGAGAGCTGTCTGGGAGGGAGTCTCTCTAAAGGAACTATTGGAAAGCTTTGTTTCATGTGCTTTCACTTCTTTTTACTGGACTGACTTGGGGAGATGAGCAAGTCCCCAGGGATTTTTCCTTTGGACACAAAAGCACCTTCCTTGAATATGCACCACTCACCATGGGGAAAGTGTCAGCAAGGAAAAACATATAACAGAGCCAGCCCAGGGAGAACAGACATCTCCTATATCCTGTGGTGAAAAAGTAAAAATCTTGACTCAAACCTCCCATGTTAAAGCTGAAATGTGACTTTAGAAACTTTAGCCATGTAAAGGGAAATGAAAGTGGTGGACCTAAGATGCACTATGGGAAAGGTAGTTTGTAGTGGCATGCCAATATAGAGAAAGGCAGCTTGGGAATTGAAGTCTGAAATATAGTGGTGCTATAGAGAAAAGCATGCTGGGAAAGACAGCATAGGCAATACCTGCTTGCCCAGTTCCTCACTGGGCTGTACAGCATGCCTCTTTCAGGGAAGCCAACTTATTGGTGAACATAGGATGGGCTTGTGTGTTTGGAGGCCGAGGGAAGCAGCACACTTTGACAGGAAAACCCTGATTCTCTCGTGCAGGCTCTTTAAACACCCAATGATCAGAAGGGGTGATGCCTTTTCCATGTCAACATCAGGCTAAGGTGCCCAGTCATTTTGTCTTCCAATATGCCACTGTAGATACTTCGGGCAGCCACAGCTTTGAATAGGGGGCAAAGCTACAAGTCGGGCTCTTCTTCTGGGGGAAACATAGAGGCATGGCGGCACTTCTAGCCACCCTCTGCACTGGTGCTGTTGGCACAAAAGGCAGGTGCTTTGGTGAGGGCTGGGTGTGGAAGAGGCCAAAGGTGGGCTCACTGGCCCTTTGTTTTAGGTGGAGACCAGAGAAAGAGAGATGTACTGGGGAAGGGGGAGGGACAACTCCAAGGTCCACTCACTTGGCTGAGGTGGTGCAGCCAAGTGAAAACCCCAGTTCCTTGCATGACTGCTCTTTGATGATGAAGTATGTCCCCTTATTTGGTTGTATTTTCTATTTACAAAGGTTTAAAAGATGGCATTGACATTAAAGCTAAGACGATAGTGTGTCTAGGATATTGGGATCTAAGTAGGTGTCACTTGGGATGTTTTCTTCCCATTTCATGACCCACAGATGTTGATAATAATCATCAATCGAGGGCCTCCTCTCTGGGAAACTGTGAGCATTTAGTGAATTAGCTTTTCAAGTTGCCCAGAGAATTGAGCTGGAATGCCATGGGTCCCTTTTATGAATCTCCTCTTGATCTCGTCCAGATTGTTTCCTTAGAAGGGGTGGTACACGGTGGTGATCAAATAGAGCAGCACACCCAGACTCCACACATCAACCTACTTCCCATCATCTCCCTCTCCCAGTACCACTTCTGGGGCATTGAAGGTCTTCTTCCCACATTGTTCTTGCAGTACAGTGCCAGCTCTAACCTGGTGGCAAGACCAAAGTCTGCCAGCTTCACGTTGCCCTCCTCATCTAGAAGGATATTTTCAGATTTCAGGTCAATGGACGATGTCAAGGTCATGGCAAACTTGATGGCTGACAGGGTCTGCCCGAATATTTTCGGTACCTTTTCCTCCTTCAGCCTGCCCTCCTCCATTATTAGTTGGAACAAGTCTCCTGCAGGAGCAATCTCGGTCACAAAGTAGAAATATTGTGGTGTTACTATAACCTGGAAGAGGCGAATCATGTTAGGATGGTGTAGTTTATCCAGGGTCAGCATCTGACATGATAACCAGAGGTCCTGCTCTCCCTTGTCAACAACTTTTATAGCCACCTGGGTGCCTGTGAGGCAATGACAGGCCAGTTTCACAGAGCAAAGTGCACCCTGGCCAATGATAAGTGGACCCTTTATGGACTTTTCTAGTTCTTCTTTTGCAGGGGGAAGGCCATGAGGTGAGGTGGTCCCTGTGCTCCTATTCAGACAGTTCTGTGAGAAGCTGCAACTCAACAACTAACAAGCTAGATAGCAGTGAAAAAGTTCCACAGGTTACTGAAATCAGCTCCCTGTCTGTAGGGACAGAACTGCAGCCCAGCCCACAGCCTTATATACAGGACACTCATCCACCACAGTGAGGTCTGAATGAGAAACAGACCAAAACCAGTAGGCTATATATAGCCCACAGTGACGGTTTCCATGTTAGTCCCCAGGCACCTTTCACATTCACTGACACTCTGTTCTCTCTAGGATTCCCCTAGTATCTTCCAACCATGTACAGTGTCCCAAGGGGACATCTCTCTCCAAATCTTCCAACTATCCCTCTTTGTCTCGATTCAGCGATATAAGCCTGAAAAATAACAGGACACCACACTTTACAAAACCCTGAGCAGGACCCCACTATGATGTTTATCTGTGCACAGGGAATCCTGGCAATCATAGTGCACTGACTGCAGAAGGAGCTTATAAAAATGTCCTGGCTCTAGAAATGAGCCTGGCTCTCCAAATTGAGAGCTCGTCTGCTGTCCAGTTGATGGACTCAGCCCTTCCTACAGCCTGTGGCAAGTGCTCTTAGTGGTTAGGGGGCAAGCTTAGACATAAAGATGAAATGCAAGGAGTCAGGACACCTCTACAGAAGAACTCCTTCCTCATTTTGACTGTAGCTGGCATACGCAGGGAGAACAGGGTGGTGGACATGAGATGGAGGTTTCCATGGCTTCTTTAGGATTCTGAGCATTCTGTAGCCACCAGTCACCATCTCTTCACATCACCTGGTAGCAATATAGTGATGGTCTTTCTCCCATGTCTACCAGCTAGCAGCACTCTGAAGTAAGCCCATAGTGTGTGCTGTGGAGCAGCAAAGATATAGCCGTGGCTGGATGGAACTCCATTCCATCAAGATGCTTGGGTCCCATGAAGATTTTAACTATGTCAGGCAAGAGGACTCGAATGTGCTGATTGCCTACTTGGCTCTTTCCTAAAGAGAAAAACATGGTGAGCATTTGTGACTGATCATCATATGTTGGTTCCTCATCAGAAGTTCCACTGTAGATTTCCACCTCGGGCGGACAGTTTACAGTCAGTGGAGGATGCTTCCTACTTTGGAGGAGATGAGATGGAAAGATTTTATCATCCTTTGAGTCCTCTGCGGCAATGCTTGATAAGTGGTCCCTTTAAAGATGGCAATGCTGCTGAAGCAAGAAGAAAACACTGACTTGGGATGTCCACCTCAGGTTCATCTCATGTTCAAAACCACATATTCATTCATATTTTCTCTCCCTCTCTCACTCTCCCCACCCTCTCTTTCTCCATCTCTTTCTCCTTCTCCCTCTCCCTCTCTCTCTCTGTCTCTCAAGAGAGGGAGAATAGGCTTAGAATGTCCCCAGGTTCTCTTAGTCTTGAGCCTGGTCTCCAAAGTCACACAATTTCTTGATCCTGCATTCTATTGCAGAATGTTTTTTGGCTTCAAATCTCTGTGTTTAATGCCCTGGTTCATGGCTATGGCACTTACTTGTCCAGATGGCTGCCTCCCATAGCACCAAGCAAGGAGGACACTATGAGGACTCTTCTGCACTTTGAGGGTTCTTTTCCTTCTGCTGGAATCCCCATTAAGCAGTTAACAATTGTTTCTCTTTATCACCTGCACACCCCAATGATGATGTTTGAGTGATCTAGTGCCTTGATTAAAACCACTAGGGTTCTACTGCTCCCAAAACACCCTTGAGGAAGTCTGAAGTCAGTCTTCACATATAACTGGGAACCTAAGAGGTTGGGAAAATTAGTCAACCTCACCAAAGCAGCCAAAGCCTGTCCTGCAGGCTGGCCTCTCTAGATCTGTGGAGTGTCCAGCTGTCTGACACAGGCAGGCTGAAAGGGCCTCGCTATGCACACACAGCCATGAAAACCAGGCCAAAATTCCATTGCAGTTGAGGGCATGAGCAAAATTGCAGTGAGATGAGTCCCTGGCGATTCTTTAAGCCTGTGTTCAGGTTGAACTCCCAGTAGTGCATGGTAGAGAGATTTCAGGAAGCTGAGGTTGCAGTCAGAACATAAGGGCCTGGAATCCTGCACTGAAATGCTGTCTATCAGGAGGGACAAGTAAGAGGGAAGGATGAGACTGAGTCAATGTGGTTTTCAGGATGAGCACTTGGACCTCTGTGTTGTAGTATGGACACAGACACTCAGACACATACACACTCACTTTTATATTAAACAAAGAGTTATATTGAATAAGCTCTTTGACATCCTCCACCTGCAGCTCTCAAGAGGAGGAAGAGCAAGCATTCTGACCAGAAATTTACAATTTAAGGAGGTGAGGTTCCATTAGGTGGCTTTGATGGAGGTCACACAACAAATGAGGTTTCTGGGTCTCTTTGTTCTGCAGGCTGTTGGACCCTTAGATCAGTTCCATCCATTTTCTCCATTTGCATTTCCCCAGTGCCCTTGCAGTGTGTACCTGGCTCTACACTTTGTCTCCAGACAAATATCTACAGTATTGATATTGTGGACTGCAGCTAACAGGCTGGTCCTACTCAGTCACAAAGTAGAATTGTCCAAGTGTTGTTTCAATCAAATATGAAAACTGGATGATAATCCTGGGACCTTAGCTTTGGGAACATTGACATTTGAAGAGAACCTATAATTTTCTGTCTTTTGGGAGGAGTCTGACTTTTTCTGCCAATGGCTTCCCTGTGAACACATGGAAAACCATTTTTGCCGATTAAGACATTGTATTCTACCCTCTGACAGGCTTCTTCTGAGTGTAGAACGGCTTTATGCTGGGCCCCTTTGCCTTCCTTGATGTGTCCTGGGCTTCAGCCCCTCAGCTATTGCTCAGGGACTAGAGGAGAAAGCATTTGCAGTTAATATTCTTCAGATAACAGATGAGTGTGTTTTTGGAGAGGCACCTTACTGCTCTGCAGATGCTGCCCATCTCTGGGTCCTCATATGACGGGGACTTCTTTCTAGTTGCACCTAAGTGCATGCTGAAAGGCCTGTCCTCAAGACAAAATCTGTCCCTGCCTCCCTACAGAAGGCCTGTCTCTAAACCCTACCACACAGGTGTGAGGGCCTTGCCATTTCAATATGGGGAAGATACTAGTATGCATCTCTTTTGAGCTGCAGGTGCCAAAAATTCCTGAAAGGCATGTCTTCATTCTCCTCCTCTGCCTCTGCAATGACTATCTCAGTGTGGAAGCAGTTTGCAAATCAGGGTGCTGCCCAGGTGGCAAGGGCATTGATTCTGAGAGTTTGCTTAATCTCATGCAAATGTCAGTCTTTTTAAACTCAGGAAAGCTGGGTTCAACCTGATGACTCTTCTTGGGACAACAGAAGAAAATGAAAAGCATGAAGACACTTTTACCCAGTTTCCTGTCTCAGGCAGGTCCCAATTGGGAATAGACGCCTAAAAGGTGAAGAACAGAATCACTGGCTCTTGGTTTCTGAGGAAAGGCAAAAGTGAATGCATTTGTGTGGCATTGGAAGATTTATGGCCAGGGTCCTAATCTTTGCAGAGTTGCATCTGAAAAGCCGAATGTTCTGGAGTGCCCTTCAGGGTGAGAATTATCCCCAATGTGTTTTTCTCAGAATTTCTCTTCTGCACGATGCACAGATGATGTTTGAGTCACATCCAAAGTCAGAGAGCGCAGCGAAGATGGTGTGGCCTGGGCAGGTCTCACTTGGAAGAATCTGTGAACTTTGTTCATGTTTGGTGGACCATGGGTGTTATGAATACCTTGTAGTGGGTGACTCCTGTGGTGCAACTGCCAAAGTCGGTGACTGAGGGTTTCCAGCTGCCCAGAGACATGACCTGGATCCTCAGATGCCCCTATTAGGATGTGTTCCTGCAGTCTATGAATGGTGTTCCCTAAGCAGGGGAGGTGGTCAGTGCTCATAACTCAGAGAGCATCCTGTCCAGACTCCACCCCTCATTCTCATCAAATCCTTTTCTGAGAAAGAGTTATGGAGCATTGAAGGGCTCAGGTCTAGTGTCCAACTCTAACCTTGCTGTCTGCATCCAAGTGGGTGCTTTAGGCTTTGTTTTGTGGCAGTATTTGATCACTGTTGTGGTCTGTTCAGATTCTGTCTGGACCTCTTCTTCCAGCAGCCTTCAAGATTCCTCCTCAGCACAATCAGTTATTAAGTCAAAACAGATGCTATCATGATGTGGGACAAGCAGGCTGCATTCAGACATTTGACCTCTGGAGAAGGGGCATTACTGTAAAAACCTAGCACAGATGCTCCTAACCTCCAAGATAGAATCTGTGACCGCTGGGTCCCTGGGAGACCAGACTAGGCTAATTTTTACTGAGTCTTGCCCACAACTATATTAAGAAGCACTACATACTTACTCCCAAGGTTGTCTTTCTGAAGATGCTGGCCTAGAAGTGAGGTTGAGCTCCTACCTTTCTCCTCTCCTGACAGGTCCTGGGAAAATCTCAACCCCAGAACTGTAAAGCAAGATAACAAAGGTACATCTGAGTTCCTTAGGTTGCAAATAACTGATTTACTCTAGCATTGGGATGAAACTCCAACCCAGACCACAGACTTATCGGTTTCTTTTCACTCCCAACTGCTCCATGTAACAAGAAATAGACAGCACACGCCTCACATTAGCCTACAGGAGCAGTCACTCACTACTTTTCCCTCAAGGACCTTTTTCCTCTTATGATAATACTAATGATCTAATTACTATTCCTTAATGATGTTGAGTCTGAGATGTCTGGGCCCCAGAGAATTTAATGTCCAGTTGGGCTTTGTGTACACGCAGAAAAGCAGGACCTGGTGAGAGATGCCCTATGTACAGGAAGAAAAGCTGTTGAGAAATGTCCTTTGTAGAGGAAGGAAGGGTGTCAGTGAAAGATGCCCTGTGTACAGGAAAGAAAGGACCTGGTGAGAGATGCCCTGAGTACAGGAAGGGAGAGAGTTGGAGAGAAATGTCCCTGAATAAGTTGAAAAAACTGCTCTTATCTGAGATAATCTGGGCCTATTCTCCAGGTGTTGATTAGACAACTGTATTCTAGCTATGATTGGCAAAATCATGAAGGGATCAAGGAAGGACAGGAATAAAATCCCCATGCAAAGAATCCCCCATGTTAAGAGTTCTTCACAATCTTCATAGCTAGGTACCCCCTCTATGCTGAAATTCCTAAATGAGCAACCCAAATCAACCATCCTTCTTTTAGAAATCTGGCCTCCTTTAAGTGGGCTGCTTTCCCTTTGATTAACTCTGGTTTCCCTAGGACCAAAATTCAGATACAGGTTCAATTTTTCCTGTCTGAATTCAAAGAAAGCAAAATTGATTTCGGGAGCTTCATATGCAGCCATGAAAAGTTATGTCCAAACATGTGAATCTATGACCCAGTTGTATAATGTGGCCAACAATGATGTGATGTTAATTGTAGACCAGCACCCTAGGCAGGACAGGGCCTTCCTCATTCAGTCCAGCAGGGACAGCCCCGAGAGGCTCCTGGGCAAGTGGACCTCTAAAGTTCCTGTTGTCCACAGATCGCCAAGTGGTTGGACAACTGCCCTTCATCTTGCCTCACCTCTTTTCATGTCCTGGAGCTGTGTGCACCGTGTGCCAGCTCCACTGTCTCATGTGACAACCTTACCTACTGCACCACCCCAGAGTACTTCGCCTACCTTTGTTAGAACTGAGAACACACACACACACACACACACACACACACACACACACACACACATACACACTAAACAATGGCGACTCCAGGCCTCAGCCCATGTTAACAGTGCCTTTTATTTAACAGAGAAAAGGTGGCCTTGTCAGGTGCAGATGGCTCAGCAGACCATGGGCTGTCCTCCTGTCCTGGTGGTCTCAGCAATGAGACAGAATGTCTGATGAAGTTGAGTATTTTTTCTGGGTTCCAAAAAGAGGCGAGTTGGGGTCACTATTGCAGAGTGAGGGACATTTCTCAAAGGCTAAACGTGCCCTGGTATCACACAGAGGGACTCTAAAATAGTCACATGGAGAGTCTAATGATGTTGCTGGCATTGCTACCCATGCCGTGGTAGATGTGCTGGTATTGGCCTCTTCTTAGGTGGATGAAGAAAAAAGGTCCCCTGGCTTGAGGAAGGAGCAGCAGCCAAGCAAGAGAGATCCACCTTTTTTGGAGACCCAGTCAATACAGTTTGAATGTGGATGCTGTGTGGACAGGAGGGCCCTGAATATGGACATCTGAGGCGGGGACTGAATTCAAAGGCCAAGAACAGCTCTCTGTCCCTAGAGGGGATATTGGCAGGGTGGGCCTTGTCTCACAAGAGGGCACAGAGCTGCTGCTTGGAAAGCCTCCTGAAGCCAAGAGAAAGCTAAATTGAGCTAGGTACTGTGGGGGAAATTGGTCTCAGGAAATGAGGTGCCCCAGGCCATGTTCCTTCAGGATGAACTGGGTTTGTCCTGGTGGTTTTTCTATGTAAGTCACAACACTGGAATCCACTGCCTCTGGAAGGCTGGTGTAGACTTCACAATATGCAAATGCTATTGACCATCTTAGGCCAAACACAAAGGTCGAGTCAAGCAGAGAGAATAAAAGAGGATCCTACACCAGACAGGGGTGTGACTTGTCTCGATGAAACTGCAGGGAGAGAAAAGCCATGGGAAGCTTCATTTCTCACTGCGGAAGCCTGGGACACCAGGAGCAAACCTAACCTTCCGCATAGCAGCAAAGGCAGGACCAAAGGTGGCTTTGACCTCCACATGGTCTCATATCCATGCTGGCAGCTTCGCCAGGACAGCAGGGCAGGCATAGAAATGATCCAGGAGCACAATGCTGTCAAAGTTCCTCCGGTGCCTAATGGCCCTGCCTGGGTAGACACACAGGTTGGGACTCTTCAGTTCAATTGCCTACCAATGCTGCATGTCCAATGGGTCTCCTTTCTCATTTGCTCCTCAAATGGACAACACAGCAGGAAAATCCCTCCTCCCTCAACCTATCCATCTGCCCCAGCAGCAGCCCAGATCACCTATGGATTGGTTTACAGCCCTCATACACAGATTCTCCATCAACATCTTCCCTGACCTTTTGTGCTAGATGAATTAAAAAAAAATCAGAACATGGAAGATCAGAACCAACTCTTTCCTGCCTGGTATCCAAGACTTTGAATCGAGGTCAGGTTTCATGGGTCTGAGCCAATACCTCATGCTGTAGGATATTTTATAGAGATGATCAAGGGTGCTAGAGGTATGCTCTAAAACCTCTGAGGAAGAATGAGAACATCTGTACAATATGCTGTTGGAATGCAGTCCTTGCATCCAGGGCTTTCTACACCACTCCCTCCCTAGACATTTCCTTTCATCTTCTGAAACACTGCAGATACAAGAGTCTGATCCAAGTAGGCTGTCTTCTCTTGCAACTCTGGAGACTTAAGGTTGGGGTACGGCATCCCCACTATCACCACACACCTGAAGTGGTTACATGGGCCTTGGAATAAATGACAAACAGCCATGGGGTCATCATCCACATGAGATCACCTGCCTGAGATTTTGAACTAATTGTGTGTGATTCCAAGTCATGGCTACACACTTCTCTGTTCCACAAAGCCAGATGGAGAAAGGGTTCAGACACTCCACCCACACACCGCAGATGCTAAGCAGGCCACATCAGTACTGAACCTATGGGATGGCTCAACAGGTAGGGCTCAAGACCCTCAGGCCCAGAACACAACAGGACAGCACACCTACTGGCCGAGGTCATCAGAGAAGGTGATCCCTTCACTCATCTTCCCTCCAACCACAGAGAGGAGCAAGGCCCCTGTCAGATGGCCTCCTGCCTGAATGCAGCACTGTGAGGAGAGCCACACCAGAGTGCCTGAGCCAAACTTGGGAGATCACAGCTGTTCCCAGCTGCCAGGCACAGAGGGCCTGTGGATCCAGCCTCACATACACTTCTCACTGTCATGCTCTTGGAATAAGCCGTCAGCACCTGCTCCACCTGGCCTGCCCTCCTGGGCTCTTGGAATAACTGAAGGAAGAAGGTCTCCCAGCAAAAGGCTTCAAAAGATTGAGTCTTGAGCCTCAGTCGGGGTTTTGTAGCCTGAGCATGGAACATGTAATCAAGCTTTGGGGAATCCCCACAGGCAGTGTCCCAGGCCTAGACTTGGTAGATTTAGAAGCTGGGAGAATCTGGACCATGCCAATTCCACAAGACTAAGGGCCCCTAGAAAGAGTTGCAGGTAGCAATGTCCTCATAAACAGGCTAAGGGGCACTCACCTTTTTCTTGACAGACAATTGTGCCAGCAGGTCAGTCTTGTCCCAGTGTGCACGTATCTGGCGCAGGTACTCCTAGGAAGGAACAAGCATACTAACCCTCCAGTGACGACATTGCACAAGTTATAGAGGACATGACTTACCTCCTCCACCTGCAGAAGGTAGACAAAGAGCTAGTCAAGAACAGTTCCCACAGCCACACCCACAGAGGACAGAGGCCAAGCAACTCCCCTTCTACAGCATGGAAGGCACTACCCTCTTAACAGACATGCCCAACTGGGGATTCTGGTGAGGGCCTGCTCTTCTGAGCATTCCATCTCTGATGTCTGAGGCAGTTGGACAGGTCTGGTTTTGTGTGAAAGTGAATGTGAAGGTTTTTCTTCTCTGGAGGAAGAATGAGGGGCTGAAAGTCACCTGAGTAAAGCTACAGTGCAGATTCCTCTCATAAAGTTTTTTTCTCTCTTAAAGTTCTATCTATGAAAAATAAGGAAGTTAGAGTGTAGTATATAGTGTAGGAAAAACTTAGAAAAGTAGAATGTAGGAACATAATGTAAAGTAAAACTTAGAAAAAGATAGGCAGCAACACTAGGAGCCATGACCTGAATATTCTAACTGTGGATCTAGGAATGCAAACTGGAAAAATCAGAGGAAACACTCTCAGAGAAGAGCTTAATGGGGAGAAAAAGATTCCTGGGGAAACTTTAGGCCCCAAGTGGCAGAGGAGGGAATTTCCCCTGAGGCAGACACAGACAAAACAGAAACCCTCCACTCAGTCCGCAGTGCCTGAGGAAACTTGTACAGCACCGTACCAACATAACTAGTTTCCTCTTGGCCACTAAAGCCAAGGTTTAGAGAACAGAAGTTTTGAGAAACCTTGGTGGTCTTTCTCACAAAACTAAAAGCTTTCTTAGGAAAAACTCTATAATCTCTCTCTTAAACCTAAAAAGCCTTTCAGAACTTTCTTTCTCAGTTTTTCTTTATGTAAGAACAACATTAGATTCACCTGTTTATGATATATATAGATAAATCACCTGTGGTTCACTCTAAGATAAAATAAAAAGACTACTTAGAGCTAGACAAATTCCCTCACTAGCTCTGTCTCTTTCAAGCTAATATTAGAAAAACAGCATCCAGAATTCCCTCTGAAGCTAGAACTTAGCTATGCACATGGGAAAGTGCAGAAGGAGGAAGCAATAATAAAGCCGAGCTGCGTCTGCACCTGGGCTGCCACGTAAGGGACTCTATCTGGGGAAGATCTGAGCCAGGACAGGATGGGGAAAGGACAGATTCCTCCCCCAAACATGC